CAAAAGAGGTAGGAGTAGGACCAGTATCCATCTGGCGAAGAGTCCTACCATATAACTCCAAATGGTCACGGAAGGAGTTGATGATCTCTTCCTTACGGTCAGAACTGGGATGCCTTTCCTGAGTTACCATGGGACTAGTCTCTTGAGATGCCATATTAGCTGAGTTATACCTTTTCAGATTCTGCTGACTTCGTTTCTTGCCCTAATCAGTTGTTGACTTCTTACCCAAATCATGTGCCCATTTAGGTTTTCCATGGAGATCTGGTGTGTCTTGCCTTCTGGCAGTGAGTGCACCAAAGCTTACTCTTATCTGTTCTCTTCTGAGAGTCACCCTTCTTAGAACCACCTCCGACATTAGTATCTGAACTTCCCCAGACAGCTAGAGCAACTAGCTCCCCCTCTATAGAATTCATCACATTTCTTCTACTTTCTTCTAACTGAACCAAGGCATAAACCTCCTAAACTTATGGCAAGTCTTTACTTCCCAAGATCTGCACCCTGATGGACTCATATGAAGGACTCAGCCCCAAGAGGAAGGCAAATACTCGTTGCTGAGACACAAGTGATTTGTATGCCTTTGCATCCTCATCACACTTCCAGTTAACATTCTACTAGTGATCAAGTTCTTTCCATATTGATGCCAGATCTGAATAGTACACCGAGAGACTCCTTTCTCCCTGCTTGCAAGTGGACGATTCAGCTTGCAGTTGGTATTTCTTGGCATGGTGTCTCTGCTCTGAATAGGTGGACTTTGCTTGTTCCCATATTTCACAAGCAGTTTCAGCCCACATAAAAGTTTTCCTCACCTGTGGTAGCATGGAAACCAAGAGTCAAGACATCACCATACTATTTTCTTGGTTCCATCTATCATATTCAGCATTTCCGCTCTTCGGTTCCTTCACTTTCCCATTGATGTATCCTATTTTTCCCCTAGCAATGATGTAGAGTTTTATTCCCCTAGACCATCCAAGGTAATTCAGACCATCAAAGGGAATGACAGCTATGGGGAAACTCATATCTATTCCCCCACTTACCCCATTTTGATTTCCAGAAATCCCTGAAGTAGCAGAATTCTCAGAAGACATGGTCAACACATTTTTTTTTTATCAAAAAATTTCAACTTAGGATCCCTCCTTATATCAGAACGAAAAACTCCACACACAACAAGTGATCAGTCCACCCACACTGCAATTTTTGGACTTAATCTGAACACAAGACCAGCACCAATTTCCAGAAGAAACAAGATGATAAATCTGATTTTCAGGCCTGTACAGAGTAGCAGTCCCAGCCTACTAGTTTTCTCAGCAGGTCTACAAGCAATAATCACAAGGGGAGATCCTTACACACAAGGCATCAAGCCAACAAGTAGAGAAAACAGGTCATACGTGACCTACAGCAGCCTTTCATAGGTACAGGATCACACGATCCAAAACAAATAGAGGAAAAACCTCACAAGGGTGTGCCAACATTCAGTGGTTCAGGTCCATTCGTTTTCCTCTTGGTACACGACCAAGGGAAGAGAAGAAAAGAAAAGAAAAAAAAATGGGGCGGCACCAGTTGCAGGTCTGATTCGATCAACCCAGATGTACTCCTCTGTTCTGCCCAGATTCAGCAGCTTGGAGAAGACACTTGATCGCCCAGATTCAATGGCCATGCTCTGATACCATCTTGACAGTAAATCTGATTGAAGGTTACAGCAAAGAGAAGAGAAGAGAAGAGGAGAGGAGAGGAGAGGAGAGAAGAGAAGAGAAGAGAAGGAAGAAGAAGTGTCGAGGCAATGGAACAGTACTGGCGGCGCCAGCTTCATTATAATATATAGGGCGAAAAAATAAAAAGGGAAATGACCCTTGTGCCCCTACTGAGTGATAGTACAATAATAGATTAAAATAAAAAGGCTTTAATCAGCCAAACAGACCCTAACAAACATAAAATCAATTATTTTAACACTTTCAACACAATTTTTAGAGTCAATTTCATATCTGATACCTTGTCTAGCAATGTCTTTCCCATATCTGGGTAACATAGATTGGTTGAAAGAATGGTGTACTCAAGATGAATAGAGGTTTTTCTCTTATCAATAACAAAATTTATTAAAAGAAAAAGGAATACAACTTCAATAATAGCTGAGAAAAGAAGGATCCAAAGAAAAGAAAATAGCAGAAGGCCAAGGCAAGACCAATAAAAATCCAACCCCATACACCAATAAAAAAGACCCCCAACAAATAAAATGTTCCCTTACTCCCTCTGGCAAGCAAATCAGCAACAAAATACACAATTCTTGGGTTCAGCTGAAATAGGAATTCATCCCAACTGCCAAAGCCTTCACCTCTCTAGTAGATGACTAAGAATTTTTGTTAAGGTAGACTCAAACAATGCTCTTTGTTTGAGGTGGGCAGCTTTCAGGAGTACGAGTTTACTAGTACGGATCATCATGTTCAGCTGTAAATGTTATTTTCTGCATAATCATTGGAAAATCTACTCACAGGATCCTAAAATATGCTAATATTTCCTATCAACATAAAAAATAAAATTGCATTGAACATTGAAATGTAGAAAAGTTCATTTGGGTTATTTTAGCATTTTGCTTCCCTCAGACAAGTTTTGGAGGCTGATGAGTTTGAGCATAAGTGGGATTGGCTTTAAGATTGGCAAGAATGTGCCTTATTATAAACATTCCCAGAAGAAACAGATGTGCCTTATTATAAATATCTGTAAGAGACAAAGAGTTTCACTAATTACTTGATTGTTGGCATGCTGCTTTCTATGTTTTGTCCATAAAAAGGACTCAATGACTATTTGCTTACTGAAATCAGAAGTTAAAATTTTGGCAGATAGTTATACAGTAGGCCTTCTTTGAGGAATAGGCAACTTCTTGACTTAGACATTTGATTACCTAACTTCTGATAAAGCAGCTCCTTGTCCTCTGTGGCTGAAAATGTTCTTTCACTACTGATACTTTTTCGCAGCTTAACTTGGGGGCTGTCTGTTCCCCCTAAGCCCAGTCCTGCAGATAGGAAGAAGTCTGCAATAAAAAAGAAATCCATTGTCTAAGATGGAGAACAGATAAAGAATAAAGCATGCATAAAATGCTTGTGATATGCATAACTATGGATCTATAAGCATTGTTTAAAATATCTACATGTTTCTTTATATTTCCATGACATATTTGGTATTTCCATTTGCATGGATACCGATAAAAAATATTACTCAAATGTATCTTGACTTATTCCCAAATGCATTAAAAAATTTTAACAAGTTTTACTTTATTAATTATGTGATATCAGTGCAAGTTTTTAAAATTATATATAATATATATGGCCACAAGCAAAACCCCTTCTGATGCTTGCCTTGTAAATAGGATAAAATATTTCTACATCTCATATTGAAAGAAATTGCAAATGGGGGTACTTTCAATGAAGAATATAAAGAAAAACTGAAAGCAATAACCAGTATGTTAACCTGTCGAAGAACGAGAAAAAAGTGCAAATAGGAAAGCACTCTTTTGCAGCATATCCTCACATGTATTGATCCCAAGGACATTCCTTAATATGTGTTCAGTGACTTTACCAATGCCTCCAATCTGTGCCAAAACTACCAGAAAGAACACTTACGAACATGGCACTTTTATAAAAATTAGTTCAAATTGGAAATAAATAATGCCAAAACTGCTAAGAATACACTCAAGGATTGCAAAAGTACCTTCCTTATGGGGAGTGACGATATAAATGTCATGATGGCCATCCGATCATTTGGTAAAATGAACTGTCCATTTGGCTTGTTTATATCTGAGCAAACCTATGAAAAATATGAAAGAGAATTTCAGGCTCTAGAAAGAACAAGCATTATTTGAAGGGGACTTTTGAAATCAATCGATCGAAACCAAAAAAAAAAAGAAGAATTTTTGAAATCAGATTAGAAGGAAAATTACACATGATGCCTGTAAGGCTTTAATGTTGTTTGGAGCAAAGTGATAGGCAATCAAAAGGAGAGTAGTTCCAATAGGTGCTACAATGAGAGAAAATAAACCTAAGATGGTTTAGGCATGTGCATGGACAATACCATCTACACCAATGAGAAGAACCAATTTAATGAAGGTTGAAGGTTTTAGAAGAGCTAGAAGGTTGAAAAGAATCTAGGTTCAGGTAGCATGAAATGATTTGAAGTCTCACAAACAGAGAATATGTCCCTTGATAGAGTTGAATGGCAAAGCATTCATCCTTACAACTAACTTGGCAGTGCTTCTTCTATGGTCAGAAGACCACTCTTCAGATGCTCAGACAAATATTAAATAAATAATTGCAACTTGGCTGACTTAATGACCATATACTCATACTGCCCCCTATATATGGCAATTCTGTTTATAAATCATAAGTGCATTACTTATGGTCAATCACCATACACCCCCATTACCAGAGAGAATCTTATATCTAAAATTCCAGTGCCAGTGTGCAAAGGGAAAAAAAAGTACATAAAATTCAACCAAGAAAAAGTAGCTGTCAGAAACTTAGAATGTTACTTGCTGTTCATCATTCCAAACACTCATTAGAGAAGGTAAATGCTCCCTACCCCCCAATTCCCCATGCAAGCTTCCCGACAAAAAGATACTATCACTACTCATAGAAAGACAGAAAAACGGGTTCATTAACAAGACTCAAGAACTAGCAAGTTGTTAAATTAATACATTATACTTTACTTTTCTTCAAAAAAAACTGTTAATACCAAGGAGATGATATGACTAACCTATATTTTTTTACTATCAACAGATAATTCTTTTCCAATTGGCTATCAAACATAAATATTTCAAATTTAATCCTCATGTTTTTATCCATTCAGAAAACACAAAGAAAAAGAGACATTATTTTAGTACATCAACTATTTTTCTCGATGACATGAACTGGACATTGTTGAACCTGATCATCCCTTGCATAGTGATGCAAGAATTTCTAGATCAGAAACATGAATCTCTAAACTTCTCTTCAGAAACTGTTCAGGAAAGCATATTATTTCTTGTATTCATCATCCTTAGTAATGCAACTATGTTAGAAGGTAACCAAAACGAACCTTAGCAAGCAAGCGATTTGGTGCCACTCCAGCACTGCATGTAAGACCAGTCTCCTCATAAACACCTTTCCTGAGCTCTTCAGCAATCTAAGCAATGAGATAACAGGAGAAGGGTAACTTGATAAAGGATTATTCAACAAAGCATATAGGAACAATCTTTATTAAAGGAGCAAAGGAAAGGAACCATTTTCTGATTGGTTAATTAGTCCCTTTATATATCAACTTACTTCTTCACTGCTACTGCCCTTTTCTTTGCAAACCTCAGTTATATCAAGGTATGCTTCATCTAGACTAGTAGCCATGAAGTTGGGATCATATTTCTGGAAAACTAAAAAAAGGAACAAAAATAAATATTTAAATTTAGTTGTTAGGAAAACAATAACTTTAAGTAGCATTTTATAATTATCCATATAAGAAGAATTTCTAACCTTTTCTAGTTAACTCACTGTAATAAGCATACTTCTTAAAATTTGTATGAACAAATATCAAGTCCGGGCACAATTTCCGAGCAATGAAACCAGGCATTGCAGCACGAACTCCAAATTTCCGTGCCTAAACATCCAAAGTAATAATATCATATTTTGTTCATGCAGTTAAGTAGTAGAATTTCTATTCTTTAAATTGGAACCTATGATTAAAGTAGAGCATCTACACTGACATATAAATATTTTATGGTAAGTTTCAAATTGTATTAGCTCTTCCATTCTCGGAACTTACAGCTTGCAATTCACACCTCATAATTAGCAGTGGAGATCATGGACATGCTGCCAACAGCCATTGGTTTCCCCTTCAATGAAGGATTCTCCAATGTCTCAACAGCAGCATAAAAAGCATCCATATCTACATGTAGCCAAATCTTTGACAGATCACGGGCAGCTTCTAGCTCTGATATTCTTTTATCAGCTACCTAGGAACAGTACAACCATAGAGTTACAAGTGATCATCAGAAGAAGAAGCAGCATGTCCTTAAAGAGGAAAAGGAGAGGGGATGCTTCAAACAAATATCAATGTTGTTTGTGGATGAACAGTACAATGACAACATTGCAAATGCAAGAGGTTAACACAGATGAATTATAGAAATGCAAGAGGTCATTACATTTGTGTAATGACCAGAATTATACATTGACTACAAACTATGGATTTGTTCAGACATTTTTCCTTTGATGACATTTGGAGGAATTGGTTTTCAGTGGCTTCTAGTTCAGTGCAGAAGACTAAAATACGGTTGGTTTGGGCACCTCCCATTGAAGGCTTCATGAAACTAAACATTGATGGGAGCAGTCAGGGCAACCCAGGCCTTTCTGGAATTGGAGGGACCATAAGAGACAAGGATGGGAATTTAAGAGCACTCTATTCAGGATCAATGGCAAATGGAGACTCCTTAAGGGCTGAACTGTATGCAGTCCTACAAGGTGTACAGATTGCAAGAGAGATAGGGTTGGAGAATTTGGTAATAGAAGGGGACTCCAAGGTGGTAGTGGGCTGGCTTAGAGATCCAGACTCAGTGATATGGTGTTATAAAAATGAAATGAAGAAATTCAAATGGGTAACACAACATATGAATTAGACTATACAATGGGTGGGAAGGGTAATGCATTTGCTGACTATCTAGCCAAGCAAGGAGTAACTGGGGATCAGTTGCATTGGGACCAATTGTAATTTTGTGCTGTTTTTTTTTTCTTTTAAAGAGTGAGGCTGCACCTCACGCCTCCCCTTGGGACGCTTGTAACGGACATTTATCTTTTTGCTGATAATGAAAAAAAAAATCCAATCTTACATTGGAAGTTGAGGCATATATTTCCATTTCCAAGGGTACCAATATGAACTATAACTGAAATCATCATATTCCCTAGTGAAAACTACCAACAATATGTGGAGAGATGAGATGGTATTATAACATGATGGGTTGGCAATAATATCGCAAATATTTTTTTATAGGAAAAGGTAACAATATCGCAAATATGTGGAGCAGTAGTATCATTGCCTGCCAAATGGAAATAATGTTCATTTTGGTCCAGCTCAAAATTCTTTTTGGATGTGACATTAATCCTAGTTTTATTTATGTAATAGATTATTCAGTTGATCTATTAGAATCATGTACAAATTCTGTGAGTTTTAATTTTGCTTGAACTTACTATATTGACTATTATGCAGCTTTAGCTCTTAAAGCCTAAAGGACAACTTCGAAACTTTTTTTATTGGTGACTATGAAATAATATATTAATGAATAAAAGAATGATTATGTGCAGAATGCCACGCATCCCAAAGAAAATAGAACGCCATGCACTCTATCAAGGCAATTGACCCTCACCCCACATTTAGATGAAATACTTCCCAATAGAAAACTCTAATTTTAGGGGGCAAGGCCTTTCCATACTGCTTTCACTAGGAATGCCACCAAGACTAAGGAAAGGAGGAGAAAGAGCACAACAAAAGGAGAAAGACAAGAAAGAGACAAAAGATTTTAGGACCCAAACCCTATGATCTTATCCAATCGAGTGGTGGCTCGGTTGGTACATAAACTGGGTAGTCCTAGAATAGATGCGGTTTCGAGCCCCGCTATCAGCTCTCACCACCATTTGAAGAAGAGTTATATTAAATAGTTGCTGAAAAGAGTGTTGTATTATGCCAGGAAAAAAAAAAAGATTTACGGCCCCTATGGGGGCACAAGGCCTGAGTTTCAATACCACAAAAAAAACTACAATCTTCAATTGAATTATCAAGGAAGATTTCACCAAATAATTGGTGATGTGTACAATAAGTAGAGTTTCACACTCCCCTAAGCCTCCCCTAAAACCAATGTCCCAAGCAAGCCCTGACTCACAAAAAACAATGCATTAGGATAGGGTCAACGAGTTTAATGCAAGAAAGATTGGGGAGGTTGGAAAATTTCTGCTTAAAAGGCATATTCCCCTACCTTAGGTCCTTCCAAAATCAGATATTATTCCCTGAAGATACAGCATACCTGACAAAAGGTAAGAAGAGAGGCAGTGGAGCCAAAATAACTTTCCAAGGAGAAGACCAATCTAGCAGATTATCCAATGTCTCAACCATTTCCTTGGAAACCATTAATACTCTTGACCAGAACATGCTATAATTTATCTAACTCAAAAGGGAACCTCCATGACCATTTCCCTAACAAAGAGGAATTCCTGGCACTAGTCTTCCCACCCCAATCCCTCTTTCCACCTTCCTCCTAATACCATCTTATAGGATTTATCATTATGATTCTGCACATTGAGCATGCACATTTTCGAGAGAAAAAAAAAATGTAGAAAGAAAGAATGAGGTAAATATTATTTTGTTCTCACAATCACCCCATTTCCGTCAACCTTTTCAAAACAAGAGAGGGTACACATTATACTAACAATAGCAACAAGTACTGCCAAGTCCCTATTCTACTTAGTATAAGCAAAGTTACATACAATTACACAAACAACAGGTACACAACATGTATATGTTTTTCATGCATACCCCTTGATAATGAGATATATCCATCGCTGTGAGCTTTGCACATTGAATACGCATATTCTCAATCTTCTGTCTTATGAACTCCTCTTTGCGTTCCTCATTCTCAAAATATTTGGATCCTTTACTCGTTTCATATATTATCCTCTGAACTTTCTCTTTGTCAACTCCATCCATCCCTGAAACATATGTGATAGTCTAGTATCATAATCTCCATGAGCATAGCAAAGTGACCACCTTGTTATATTATCGATAAGGAGGGAGATTAAAGAAAGATATTGCCCATCAAGAAAAAAGTTCAATGTACAAAATAGAGATGTTCTTCTAGAGTGTTGTACAATGATAAAAATCAATTAAATTGAAATCGATATTTTACAAGCAACTAGAAGATTAACTATGCTTAAGACTGTCAAGATAAATAAGTGTTGCAAGAGAAGGAAAGAAAAATTAGAAATAAATGCACTCTTGGGAATATAGGGGAAGCCAGGAACCAAGATTATTGTTTCCATATGCACCTTTAATAATGATTGAACCACCGACTGGGTAATTTTTCATGCGTTGAATGCTCAAGGACATGTGAATAAGGATGGTAATCCAGACCCAACCCGTTGAACCAGCCCAAACCTGACCTATTTACTTAGCGGGTTCATTCGCCCGTTGGGTCAACTTAAATAGGTTGGGTTGTGTCAGGCTGTGGGTTCCCAACAGATTAACCAGATATGAATGATACAACTACTCAAGTCAAAAGAGACAACCTGTGATGTCATAATTAAAAAATAAAATACGAAAGTTACAGAAAAGTTTAGGAAATGATAAAAGAACGGAACATATCTCTCATGTTATATGCTCATCATATTAAACAAAATTAAGTGTGATAAAAAAATTATTTTTATCTATTTTTATATGTTAAAACATATTTAACAAAATTAGATGACATGCCGCAGTAGAAATGGCTAATTCACTGACCTGTTGGCAAACGCAACCAACTCAGTCAACTATTTGAACCAGCCTATTGGCAAGGATAACTTGTTCAGTCAATTGGTTGAACCATCCCGTTGGCAAGACCAACTGGTTCTTTCAACTGGCTAGACCAGTTGGTTCAACTTGTAACCATCATTTTAGACTGGTCCAACCGGACAGGTCAGTATGGTGATGGAGTTGACAGTTCTGGATTGACCAGTTCTCTGAACCTTTAGCAAGGTTAATCAGTCCAGCCAACCGGTCAAACCATCCACTTCAACATATGACCATAGTTAGACTGATCCAGCTGGATGACCCACCAATGGAGTTAACCACTCTGGACCGGCCAGTTCTCTAAACTGCTAGCAAAGTTTTCTTTTTATCAGCAACTTTCAGTAAAAAAAAAAAAAAAAAAAAGAAAGAAAGAAAAGGAAGTACAATGGACTAGGGAGGGGTAAACTCTCTTAACCCTCCCCAAGAAAAGTACATACAAGGCAATTACAAAATGGCCCAAAATAAATGTTCCCTTCCCACCCCTTGTTTAGCAAGGGTATCTGCAAATGTATTAGCACACCTTTTTACCCAATGTAACTGAATCTCCACACCTTGTGCTAGCTGGTTGAACAATCTTTTTTCATTACCATATTTCCATAGACCAATTTCCTTTCTTTGCAGCCATCCTATGACCAGTTTTGAATCCCCTTCAATAATGAGCTTTTGGCAGCCCAACTCTTTTGCCCTCTTAATTCCTTCCATCACAGCTAAGTGTTAGACAGTTGTATGCCCTTAGCTTCAATCAGAATTATGTACATTATGAATTTATTGTAAATGAATAAAGTACACATTTGATTCATGTT